ACAGAAAGCATGTTTAATGGGTACCAGGGACTGAGGAGGAGATGGGGGGATGGGAAGTTACTGCTAATGGTGATGAGGTTTGATTAGGGGGTGATAAGAATGTCTGAAAAATTAGATAGTGGTGATGCTTTACAACCTTGTGGATATACTAAAAAATCACTGAATTGTAAAAAAACAACAAATAATGAAACTAAAAATAATGTGAGCTCCCTGAAACAAAGTGAAATCAAAATTGTATGATTAAATTATATTTAATTTCACTCAGAAATAAGTTTCGGTGACTAGGCTGCCTGGTGACCTGACTTAGTTGGCATTGGACATGTGGCAGCACACAGTTTATCTCCGACATTAGATCAGCTCGGTGACACATGTGGCATGCCTCACTCCCGTGGCTCAAGGTGGCTCAAGGGCCAAGGCGTTCCTGCTCTCCTTACTCCCTTTGATGAAGGGGACACACATCGAGGAGCACAGAGCCCCATGTCTCACTTCCTGTGTCCTCCGTTGGGGTCCTTTGTGGCCAGGTCTGCATCTCTGATGCCAGGAGAGGGTTTCGCCTCGGCTTCATTGTAAGTGGGGTCTCCAGGTGGTGAACATTCGTGTGGAAAGGACTCCATCCTGCAGAAGCTGGAAACCCCAAGCGGCTTCCTTGTGACTGATGATTGAGACCCAAGCTCAGTCATTCAGGTGACAAGGAATGTTCCCCAAATCCATAGCTGGCAGTTGATGCCACTCTCAACAGCTCTTTGAAGAGGGCTTTCTTTTGTCCTCCAAAGGTACAGAAGTTACTCACATGTCATCTGGCGAAAAGCCAGTGAACACACTCACATCAAGGTCTGCCCGGGTCCAGGTTCAAGGCCCTGCGCTGAAGGTGACAGCTCTGTCTGCCGTGACCAGACTTCAGTTTGGCTTGTTAGCAGAGTCTCTAAGTCACTCCCAGGAGCGGAGCTGTTTCCTCCCCAGGGCCAGGCTGCTACCAGGGGTGATGCCAAGTGCCCCGTCCAGGCACAGAGAACTTATTTGGGTTTACTTGCAAATAAGTCAACCTTGCTGTTTCTTAAAGGGGAGTCACAAAAAGGCATCTGTGAATGACCTCGGCAGTGCCCTCACAGAAGAAAACAGGAGTTTTGTCATGCTGAGAGGCACTGGTGGGCTCCTCTACCTCCAGTTACAGGGATCTCTGCCAGCTCCTCTTAGCCAGTGTCGCCCAGCCTGCCCAGCACCCTGTCGGGGAGTGGGAGCATTTCTGGCACACACAATCCCTGTGGTTCCCCAGCTCTGACTCATCCCACAGCTAGAGGAAAGGCCAGCAGTTCTGGAGAGGACAGTGGCATTGACATTGCTGCCGCACTCCGCCTCTGCTCCAAGTGCAGACGTGTGCTGCCATTTCCAGGGCACTTGGCTTTGCCAGCACTTCACTTCGCTTTGTCTAGCGGTGTGAGAAGCAGCATTGCAAGTTACTTCAAGCAAAGGCTTTTGTGTTGGGAAACAAATTAAGTTGTGGTAAAGTTCTAATATGTTCAACTGGAGTCATCTTCTCACCACAACCCCTTTGTGGTTTGACTTATTTTTTATCTTTTTTTTTTTTAAAGATTTAAAAAAAATTTTTTTTTTTAATTGGGGAATTGGGGGGATGGGAACAGACAAGTTGCTGTCCTTTTGTTCTTCAGTCTAGTTGTGGAGGACATTGCTTCACTGGCCCAAGTTGGCACCATCATTGCGCTCTTCCCAGGCGAGGCACATCAGTCGCCGGCTTCTGGACGGCTGCTCACGGCGGCTGTTGGCCGCTCGCTCTGGCTGCTGGCTACACACAGTAGCCCATGGCAATCCACTGCCACAGGGACTGCAGCCTACACCGTCTCCGTCGCCTCACGGCAGCCCAGCTCCAGGTTGAGCTGTTGTTCAGCATCTTAGCTGTAGAGGGCAGTGTCACTGGCCCTCATATGTGGGATCCGAACCGGGGCCTTCTGGCATCCCAAGCAGTTCTTAACCATCGCGCCACTCGGCCGGCCCTCGACTTCTTTTTTAAATAAAATTCCCTTACTTTAGATGGCTTCTTGCCTTCCACAGGTGCCAGCGTTGTCTACTGAGAAACACCAGTTCCTTGGGGCCTCCCCTTTTTTCTTTGATGTTTTCTCCTTTCTTCCAGGCCTCATACAAAGGCAGGCAGGCATTCATAAGCATGACGTCAGCATCTGCTCTCTTTAAGCCTTCTTAAAGATTCCGTGGTAGATGTCATGGACTCTACACCCTGTCTGAAAGGACAGTTACTCGTGTCCTTGACAGTGGCATCCAGTGTTCCACGCTGTTTGTTAAGTGTGAAACTGCATGCTCATCAATTTCTACATTTTTAAAAATTGTGGTAAAATACGCATAGCATAAATGGACCATTTTCACCTTTTTCTAGCATACGGTTCAGGGTACACATTGTTGTGCAACCATCACCTCTGTCCATTTCCAGAACTACCTCATCATCCCCAAAGGAGCTTTTTGCATATTAAACAATTAACTCTGTACTTTTCCCCCGCCCCAACCCTTGGCAACTACCATTCTACTTTGTCTCTGAATTTGTAGTTACCTCATAGGAGTGGAATCATACAATATTTCTCCTTTTGTGTGTTGCTTATTTCACTTAAATGAAAACGTGGTTCATTTAGGTTGTAACATGTATCAGAATTTCGTTCCTTTTTATAGCTGAATACTGATCCGTTGTATCCATGCACCATGTTTTGTTTGTCCATTCATTCACTGATGGACCCTTGGGTTATTCCCACTCTTGTTTACTGTAATGCTGCTGTGACCATTGGTGTAGTGTCTGAGTTTCTGTTTTCGGTTCTTTCAGGTTTTTGTTGGATCCTGTGATAATTCTGTGTTTAACTTTTTGAGGAACTGCCAGACTTTTCCATAGTGCGACACCATTTCACATTCCCACTACCGTGTACGAGGGTTCCAATTTCTCCACCTTCTCCAACACTCGTTTCATTTTGTTTTTATAATAGCCTCCCCAATGGATGTGCGATGGTGTCTTCATCACATAATTTAATGCAAGAATTATTTTTTGGAGACACAAAGGTCACTAATCCCATTTATTCACTTTTATATGCTCATGCGTGTGGGGTCGCCATGTCACCTACCTTATGCAGTGAGACCCCAGATGGTGACTTGTCTGAGCCCATTAGCAATGTGTGTATTCTTGCCCCTTAGCTCCCAGGAGGCAAAGAGTCCAAAGGTGGAGCTGCACAGCCACTCGGAAGTCCCTTTCCAGATGCTAGATGGCAACAGCGGTGTGAGCTCTGAGAAGATCAGCCACAACCCCTGGAGCCTGCGCTGTCACAAGCAGCAGCTGAGCCGAATGCGCTCCGAGTCCAAGGACCGAAAGCTCTACAGTATCCTTGTCACTGCTCTGTTGCAGTGTCTGTTACTGGGACCAGGGGCCCTGTGTCAGGGCACCTTCCAGCACCATGGCCGAGGTCCTCTCTGCTCAGGGTCCCTGCTTTTATTCTCATCTCCCTTTTTCGTAGTCTCTTCTTTCTCCTCCTCCTTACTTTCATCAGCATATTGTGTTTTTTCTGCCTTTGGGGGCTGTTAAGACTGAATCTTAAACTTGGCAGTCTAGAAGAGTGCTGTCCAATATAACCTTCTGGGACAGTGGAAGTATTCTATATCTGTGCTTTTTATTAGTATGGTAGACACTAGCCATATTGAGTATACAAAATGTGACTGCTGTGACTTGAGTTTTTTAATTTTAAATTTATTTTAATTCAAATTCAAATTTAAATCAACAGATGTGGCTAGTGGCTACCATATTTATCGGTGCATGTCTGGAATCGGGTGGGGGGTTGTGCGCGCACATGTCTTCCTCCCCTCCCAAAAGGTAATATGTTTGGTTTTGGTGGGGTTTTTTTGTTTTGTTTAAAGTTAAACACCATATCTATACAGTGTAAAATAGTTTTAAGATGTTAAAGGTAAAAAAGTATTATGAAATGGGTATCTTTATAATCGTTTAGTTTGCAGCAGTAGACAATAAATAACTAGTGCTGAGAATCTGAGGGGGGATGTGCTGAGCACTTCATATGTATTCACTCAGTTTTTGTAACAAGTCTTTTGAGGGAGGAACCGTATGGTTCCCATCTTTAGATGAAGAAAGGGAAGCACAGGGGTAAGGATTGTGCCCAGAGCCCGTGAGGGAGCAGGATTCGAGAGCCCATGCTCTCAGGCACTGTGGGCTTTCTGCAGCCTTCCTTAAGTTTTACTGTCACTTATTTATAGGTTATAGCAGGAGTGAGATTAATTAAAGGCCAAGTTGAATGGGTTTCTGTGTTATTTTTTAAAGAATTAGGAGGTTTTAAAATGTTCATCATCAGAGTGATGCTGAGTGGCATATCCTTTAAGATTATGTGATTGTGTCATCGTCCCCAAATATGCGTTGTGGTTCAGGCTGTGAGCCCCACTGACTTTTGGCAGACGTGATAAGCCCGTACTTTTACTCGAGAGTGTTGCAGAAAGTAGATTTAGATGAAGACGGATATAAGTGACAGGAGGCCAGGACCATAGAGCTGTTTTGAGGAGAAGGTCCTAGAAGTACTAAGGGATAAACTTGAAACATATAATCTACTGGTTTGAAATTAAGTCAGAAAATGGCAAAATAGAAATTGAAACCAGCTTTTTCTAAAGATTCCATTTGGGAGTGTTACATCTGATTTCTCCTATTTGCAGTAGTGCCGCAAAAATGTCTTCCTGATCTTTTGGGCCCGGGTGAGGCACTGGCTTGAGTGGGGCCTTGGTTTACTGATGGTGCCAGGGATGTATGTGAATCTGCCAAATCTTCTTTAGTTTGTGTATGCCTGCAAGACAGATCTAAAGAATAAAATTAAAATGATGACTTCAACAGAAGTGATATATATACATACAGTGGAATATTACTCAGCCATACAATTGAATGAAATTTTGTCACATGTTACATACAACATGGATGAGCCTTGAAAGTGAAATAGCCAGACACAAACAGACAAATATTATATGACTCCACTTATAAGAACTACCTAGAATAGGCAGATTCATAGAGACAGAAAGTAGTATAGTGGTTATCAGGGACTGGGGACGGGGATGGGAGTTAGTGTTTAATGGACAGTTTCTGGTTTCTGTTTGAGAAGATGAAAATATTTTGGAGATGGATGGTGGTGATGGTTGCACAGCAGTGTGAATCTTAATGCCACTGAACTGTATACTTAAAAATGGTTAAAGACAAATTTTATGTATATTTTACCATAATAACACTTTTTAAAAATAAATTATAAGCCAGTGGTGTGAAATCCACATTTAACTGGGAGGTGGAATACAGATTACATTAGATGAGAATGCCCCCTTTTATAGAAAAACTTGCTTGTGCTTTCCTGGCTGTGGCTGATGGTGAGTGTGGTTGTCATTCTCCTTGACCGTGGCCCAGAGTTCCTCCTGCTTGAGAACGTGGTGCACCACTTCAAGTACCCCTGTGTACTGGACTTGAAGATGGGCACCCGGCAGCATGGTGATGACGCATCCGCTGAGAAGGCGGCTCGGCAGATGAGGAAATGTGAGCAGAGTACGTCAGCTACGCTGGGTGTCAGGGTCTGTGGTATGCAGGTGAGTCGCCCCTGGTCTGATGAGAGCCTACGTGCTGCTGCTGGCATGTTTGGGGCTGCCCATGTACCTGCCTGCTACCCATGCCAAGTGTCCTTGCCCCCCCCGTTGGCCCAGAATCTCCTCTAAGAGCGGAGTCCCCCACAGGGTGCCAAGTACATCCTTAAAGTATATTCCTTGAGCCCTCTTGTTCTTACCTGGTGCCCTTGGTCTGGGCTCTAGGTACAGAGCTGCTGTCGGCGCCTGTTGCCTTGACATTGTTTGTCAGTAAAATGTTCCTAGTTTGGGCCCTAGGGCAGTTTGGAGAAGGGCTTCAAAGGTGATGGCAGAGAACCTGCAGGCCTGGTCTCCTTTCTCCTGGCGTCACCGCAGGAAAACTTAAGGTGAACCTGGCCCGCACATCGCAGTGGTGTAGGGTGAGCAGAAAAGTTCAGGTTGGTCAGTAGTGTTTTCCAGACAGTGCTTGCCCAAGGCACCGCACCTCCTGGCACTCATCCTTGTCTGTCTCCTGGGGTTTCAGGTGTACCAGCTGGACACAGGGCATTACCTCTGCAGGAACAAATACTATGGCCGCGGGCTCTCCATTGAAGGCTTCCGCAGCGCCCTCTATCAGTACCTGCACAATGGCCTCGACCTGCGGCGTGACCTTTTTGAGCCCATCCTGAGCAAACTGCGGGGCCTGAAAGCGGTGCTGGAGCGGCAGGCCTCCTACCGCTTCTACTCCAGCTCCCTGCTTGTCATCTATGATGGCAAGGAGTGCCGGGCTGAGTCCTACCTGGACCGCCGGTCCGAGACGCGTCTCAAGCATGTGGACACAGGGCTGCCTGAGGTGGCATCACCCTGTGGGCCTAGCACCAGCCCCAGCAGCACCAGTCCTGAGCAGGCGGGCCCCTCCTCTCCACCCAAGGTGGATGTCCGCATGATCGACTTTGCACACAGTACGTTCAAGGGCTTCCGGGATGACCCCACCGTGCATGATGGGCCGGACCGAGGCTATGTGTTTGGCCTGGAGAACCTCATCAGCATCATGGAACAGATGCGGGACGAGAACCAGTAGGCCCAGCTCTGGGCCCCCAGCACCCCTTCCTCTCCACCCGCAGGCAGGGACCATTATCTGAACTCGCCGTGAGGACACAGACTTGCTTTTAAAGGGTTATATTTCTCTTTGGTGTAAACTAAAAGAAATGTTTTTAGCTGTAGCCTGGAGTCCATATATATAAAGTGAAGGAGGGCAGAACACACATCCTCTCAGCCAGGCTCCTTAGCTCCCCAGTTCTGACTGCTGTGTCCAGGCTGACTTAGGAAGGAAGAGGTGCCCTTGGTAGACTTGGCAGCGTGGACAGGGTGCCCTTGGACATTGGTTTCTCTTGCCTGGGTTTTCGGGGTCTGTGGCTATAGGGCCCTGCTGGTTGCAGGGTGAAGCCCTGGGCTGATACAGGGCCCCTCCATGCCCACTTATCCCTTGTTCCTCAGTAGTAGAGGGCTTGGGTACCCATGTCTTGGGGTCCGTTCTAGTGTTGTGGGTGTCAGCCGCTCTTTGATGCCCCCAGGGCACTACAAGGCCAGTTGCACCTAGCTGGACCCGTCCTTCTTGGTTCTGACCTTGGCATGAGGCTGGATTTGTGAAACTGGGCGGAAGTCAGCTTACGACGGGGCAGGCTGTGGGGTCCCCAGGCACCCTTTGGCACTAGAACCTGTTCCTCCCCCTGCCTGCACACCCCAGCCAGCCTTTCTCACCAAGATCCCTTGCCTAAGGAGTCTGCATTCTCTTGCCCCACTGCGGGGGGCCTGCTTATTTGCTGAGGAGAGGCAGTGCCCCAGCAGGCCTCAGGGCCCCTGGCGGCTCGGCCCGGACGGTATTTGCAGTTCTTGTGCTGTGGGTGGGAGTCCGCTTCCTCTGGCTTGGGCAGCTGTGCTGCCTCTGGGTGGGCTGCTCTTCCCGGGGCTCAGGGGCTCACCTTTCCCCAGGCCAAGCTTCCGGCAGCAGCCCATTGTGAGGAGCTTCTGGCTTGAGAGGGAGAACTTGCGCTTACGGACATTGTCTGTGCTCTGGGTGCAGGTGCTCAGATTCTGCTAAGGAGAGTTTTGTCTTAACAGTCCTGGGGTGCGTCCGTCTGTCCATTTGTCCATCTGCCAGCCCCTGTCTCTTGGGATCCTTCCCCTGGGGCATAGCCTTGTTCATTAGTAAATACTGATTTCCTTCATGCTTTCCTCAGCAAAACATCCTCTTTCTCATTTCTGAGGTGAGTTTTTGCCCCTGTGCCCTTCCTCAGCAGGTAGGTGCTACCTTTTTACAAAGAACTGGTAGCAAAATGAATTGTAGGTATTTCCCTGCTGGCCCATCAACCTCTCTGTTGGCCTAGAGTGTGGCCCCCTCAACACTGACAG